AACAGTTATTATTACACTTTTTTTAAAAAAGCTGTTAATGTAGTTTCAAAATTAGAGTGAGCTGCATTTTCATTTACCATTGGTAGAGGCTCTTCTCCATCCAGCATGCGACAAATGTTATTCACCACTTCTCGGATATCGTAGTTGGGAATCTTGCATGACCAGCCAGTTCCAATGCCTTCTGCCCCATTGATTAGGACCATGGGAATGATTGGGATATACCATTCAGGTTCTACCCGTTGGTTGTCGTCATATAGAAATTTCAGCACACTGTCATCCACTGCAGGAAAAGCCAATCGTGCCAAAGGACTAGAAAAGAAAGTGACTTGCGGAGAAACTGTTCTTCATGAACATTCTAGAAGCAGGATAATAGGTTTGCAGTGGGGAAATAGGGAGACCATCATACTAAATTTCCCGCAGTAGGACTTGTTACCTCCAAGTGATGTAAAAGAAGTGCCCTCACCCCAGTCCTTGCTGGTAGTTACTAACCTGAGCATTGTAAAGATGTAACGGGGGCTGGCAGAGTCTTTCCCCCCATGCAGTCTGGTGCCAAACTGGCCAATGGGCTGAAGGAGGTTAAGGTTGTTGCTGCCCACAAAATTTTGAGCCAGATTGATAATGGTCATCATCAGTGAGGCCTAAAACAAAAGGTATAGCGGCAGATGGTTACACATTCCCCTTATAACTACTACTACAACAACAATGGCCTATCAAGTTAATTCTGATTTATGGAGATCCTTTTCTGTATCTCCCAGGTAAAGAATACTCAGAAGTCATTTACCTTTCCCTTCTTCAGGGGGAGCCCAGGAACTGCACAGCTTGCCCAAGGCCACAAAGGCTGCCTCTATTCACAGGAGGCACATTGAACTCCTGACCTCTGGCTTTGCAGCTAGATATCTAAAGCACTGAGTTACCCAAGAAGAAGAGGTACAGAAATGAGGTTTCTATGGTTTCAGAAACCGTTTCTATAGTTTCAGAAATGAGGACTCTTGACCACTAAACCCAGCTACTGACCAGATCTTTACGCCTGCCCCCAGACTCTCTGAGCTGAAGCAGGACATACAGCTGATAAAACAATGCTATTAGAACATTACAACCCTAGAAACGGCAGGTCTTGTCTGTGACCATGTGAACATAGCTTAAGTAGGAAAACAACACTAGCTGTTTCATTTCCCCTTTTGCCAGTTGTTCTTGAAGCTGCATTACGCTTCCTTGGCACCTTTCTGGCCTCCATTCTCTTACCTCTCCATGGTGGTAAGAAGACATCTCAGCCACTGATCCCGCCAGCTGGGCAACTTTTACCTCTCGCTTGTCGTTTCTTTTGAAGCAAGTGAACAAAACCTTCCTCTGACCTGGTTTCAGGCCTGAAAGAATGAAAGACAGATCCCTTGACAACATGCCATCCTTTTGAACTAAAAGCAATCCAAACTAGAGTTTGTCTAAGCACTGAAGAACTGGTGGGCGGACAAGTCTTGTAAAGGCTGTAGGTGAAAGGATGGCTGCCTAAAGATTGCTATGATGCTTTCAGCCGGGGGGCCACAAGGGGCAGAGCACCTGACTTAGCAGTCCATTCACAACAAAAAAACATACAGGTTAAAGAAGTGTTGCTTATCGTATCTATGATAATAGGTCACAAAGATAACACAGAGAGGTAGAGCTGCAGGACATATCCTGTAGTTTTTGTCCTTTGTTTATTAAAACTGCTAATATGGACAATCTTGTACATTGAAAATACAAGGAAACTTGATCTCAACTTTATGGAACAGGCAACTTACCATCGACCAGTGA